CATTACCTATGTTTACATACATATATGTTCAAATGATCAAGAGACTTCAGTAAATATAAAATTCAAAGCATTACATATATATAGTGCAGAAGCATTCCCTATTATGTGAAAAAAAGCCCCCCTTAGTTTTCCAAAAACGTTTTTTTCCAAAATTTAAGAACGCATAGATCCTACAAATAATAACCATCTATTCCATAATTTATCAAATTTAATAGGGCACCTCCTGTGCCAATATGTTAACCGCTTCCAAGGTCAGTATTGACCATTTGTTTCCATTGTGAAAGTGTAGGTGGGTTGGGTGATATCCACTTCAGTGCTATCAACTTCCTAGCTAAAAAGCCTAGTAATAGAGAGTTTTAACCCATTCATAACCCATGATGGAATAATGATGGAATAATCCCGTCATGAAGTCTGAAGGGGTTAAACAGGCTCCCGGCGGCTCTTTATACCCCACTCTCAGGGAAAGCAAGCTATGATTCTGAGGAAGGGGGCTTGCCCCTGAAACGCGTCAATCTGGCCCAGAAAAAAAAAGTTCTTGCTTTTTGGAGCCAGTTTTATTGTATAGCTGAATGTGCGGGGAAAACACCTGCATGAGGAGAGAATATGACTACACAGATCGCCACAATTGTTTTGAAGCTTACTGCATATTTTCTCAATACCAGTCATGTGCTTGGCTGAAGAGGCTGAATGATACTGCTGCACAATGGTGAATGCCTTGGTCTTTTTATATCTAATATAGTAAATAATTTGTAAGGAATTAATGTGGGCGCATCTTTAGCTGCTCTCGCTGCTCTCACAGCTTGCAGTACACAGTACGAAATCATCATCATATGGGTTTTTCTCACTTATAACTTATCTGCTAGAAAAGGCAAGGAAGGAGATGTCACTTGGGAGTACAGATAAAGTTTCCAGCCCGTTACCCGTGCTTTTAAAGCTGCTGTTTAAACAGAAAATTTGTCAGAGAGCAGCGTACACATCTGCAAAAGTTTAAAGGACAACTTCACCTTTACTTAACTTGTCATGAACCCCTCTTTCCTGAGTGCAGCCTATCTAAAATAATACTAATCTTCCTCCCCGATCTGGTGATTTTTTTTCCCTCTGACAAGGTTCCTCCCGGGCCTTCTTCATGCTGCGCATGCCACATATGGGTAAGTTGTATTGTGGGGACCACTGGATGGTGCCATAAGTGTAGCTTACACATAGAAATTAATGGGGTCGTGACACTCATATGGTATGAAGAGAAGCTGGCATGGACATTGTTGGAGAAAATATTGCTGGCTCAGGAATTATCCCAGATAGGCTATACTCAGGGGACTAAGGGGAATTATTAAAGATGAAGTTGTTCTTTAAGTCAATACCTTTGTCCTCCATTTGCTTCTCAGGAGATTTATGCTATTTGTTTTCCCCCAGTTTTAGCCATCCAATCCAGGTCTTCTAATTAATATCATCTTACATACCCATCATATAATTCTGTCACTTGGAAAGGTAAGAGGAATTCCACTAAGCAAATTTTGCATTCGAAGTGATCACATAAAATAACCCCCATATCAACCCCCATATGCAACAATAAGGCTCCGTTCACATCTATTATATAGCACTAACGATTTACTCAATGCTTCACATACTGTACATTCACATCAGTCCCTTCCCACAAGGAGCTTACAATCTAAGGTCCCTATCCTACATGCATATACATACAAACTGGGTCCAATTTAAACAGGAGCCAGCGAACGTGCCTGTATGTCTTTGGAGTGTGGGACATACAGGTGCAAGTACAAGGAGAACATGCAAACTCCTTGCAAGTAGTGTCCCGACCAGGAATTGAATTGTGATCTCCCAGAAGTGCTAATCACTATGCTGCCCTTGCCCACATCGCTGTAATGCAATCATAACATGTTGTAATGTTAGGTGTGCTTTGGTCCCATTATTTTATAAGTATTTCATAATGGCACCCCAATGCTCCTAGCTATCACATATGTGTTGTATCGCACCATATCCCATAATAGCCTTTTACCATGTGATGTGATGCAATGCGATTTGAAAAAAGGTGCTAGCATTGCTTTTAACGCTGTAGAAGAAATGTCATAATGACATTCCCCTGTCAGACATAAGAGTATGTTGACCACATACTGCACAGTGGTTAGTGTGGTAACCTTGCAGCATTAGGTAATTAGGTTCAGTTTATAGCATGAAAATCATTCCTCTACATTTATTTGGCACTGACATATACCACATTGCTGTTAAACTAATATTATTACACTTGTTTCTATAGTATGCAGTACTACATAGAAAATACGGAAACATTGCACCCTACTGTTTCTTGTGAAGTGTGAATATTAATGACAGGTCCAAGTGACCTTGTTTAGGGAAATCTGCATTTGTGTTATGGATCTGCTGATTTGAGAGCAGACATTTGAGCACACAAACATTTTTCATGATATAATAGGACGTAGATTGGTTTGGGAATATGCCATATTTGTTATGAAAGCATTTATTGTGCTAATATCACCATGATAATATTTATATTGACCAAACAATGTAATGATACATCAGCATTCACTTCAGGTTTCGGTTGAGGTGTAGGGTTATAATGAGGAGTAAAGCTGGCCATACAATGTGCGATTTTCAGCTGATTCTTGATAAACCGTCCAAAATTCATTCAGTGGGTGGCCCTGTCAGTACTTTTTCGTGTGGCATCCTTTGATGCCACACGAATATCAAAGGAGCCATTTAGAAATTTTTGGGGTGAACAATGACAGCAGCCAAAGTGACTGCTGTCACTGTTTGTGTATTCTGACAGCACCCGCCATTTTCAGAATACCATTTACCCAGCTAGAGATTCATCCATCCATGCTGTTATACATTTTTGTTCAGCCCGCAGCTAAAGTGTATGGCCAGCGTTAGTCATAGGTTTTTATTTTAGGAGAAACTGCAGTATATATTTAGTGAGTATGTATTTTGAGTTATTTCTGCAGTATTTAACATACAGTGAACCTTTACTTTGTCGATTAAAGGTAAAGCAACTGGTTTAATACACTTGCACTCCCCAGCTGCCTATACTCCCCTTCCCTTTGCTCCAATTATCGATGGGATTGAAATAAAGAAGCTCAATTTGCTTTGCCCTGGTGTGATCTCTGCCACCTCCGCACATGACAGCGCTGGTGTCTGGCAATTGATCATTAGAGTACCCAGCACCGAGAGAACAGAATGAGCCACATCCTCTCTATGCTTGGAAAAAGTGGGTATTGCTCTTCACTGCCAGTGGGCAAACAGAGCGAAAGAAAGGTAAGAATAAGCAATTTGGAGGGGAGAAGCAGTTAAGCGAATCTTTTTAATATTTTTTAATGTTCAGTAAATATCAAAAGAAAACTTCTGCCCCGTGAACTATCATGTGGTGATTTTTCACATCTAATAGACTTTTTGCTTTGGATTTAATGGACGCTTTATAACATTTTAATTTCCAAAATAGATAAACTGCACAATTTTTTGTTTGTTATGTTGATTGATATAACTTTTGATGTTTATATTTTTTTTATTATTTTCTAATTTGATTTTGAATGTAGTAACGCTACACTTATTTCCATGGTTTAATTTTTTTTACGTTGTTTTATGTATATTTGATGTGCTTTTTTCCGTTTTTGTTATTGTATGAACTGTTAAATATGTAGATTAGCCACTAAAGGCAGTGCACATTAATCACTAAAATCTCCTCCTCCTTCTGTGGATCCACGCCACTTGCACCAACCGACCAGAGCCCCTGATGAGACCGCACACCCCTCCTAAGACCCCACACAGCCCAGCATAGAACCCACACAGCCACCTGAGAGTCCACACAGCCCACCATAGAGTCTGCACAGCCTACCATAGACCCCGCATAGCCCACCCGAGAATCCACACAGCCCACCATAGAACCTGCATAGCCACCTGAGAGTCCGCACAGCCCAACATTGACCCCACATAGACCACCAGAGAACTTGCACAGACACCTGCGAGTCAGCACAGCCCACCATGGACCCCTCATAGCCCACCTGACGGTCTGTACAGCCGATCATAGAACCTGCACAGCCACCTAAGAGCCTGCACAGCCCACCCTAGAACCTGCACAGCCACCTGGGAGTCCGCACAGCCCACCATAGAACCTGCACAGCCACCTGAGAGCCCGCACAGCCCACCATAGATCCCGAATATCCCAACTGAGATTCTGCACAGCCCACCATAGAATCTGTGCAGCCACCGGAGAGTTCACACTATTGCATTAAATCCAATTCTTTTTCCTAGAGTTCTATGTTCGGAGCTAGTTATTAAGCTATTACTAAAACCAGTAATAATTGAATGCAGAGGCAATTATTTAACATGATAAAGAGTAGATATATTTATATGAACTTACAGATATAGCCAGCCCTTTGAGGGCAACCATAATGCTGATGCGGCACCCGATCAAAATGAGTTTGACACCCCTACTTTTTTTAATTTCTCTGAATTAACTGTGGGCATAGGGTTCTGTTTATGGATGTTTTTTCAATTTTTTTCTCTTAAAGTAAACTTCATGGACTTGTACAGTATATGTCTCTATGATTAAGCCTTTTTGGTAAAACATGTCAGAGCCTGTGGATCTTGTTATGCTTGTAATGTTTTAGATTCCTGGGAATAAACTTTTTTACATCTGGGTCCAGACTGTTGAGTGCGGCTTTACTTACATTGGATTGATGGACTTGTATCTTTTTCCAACCTGACTAACTATGTAACTATGTAACATAGCTTTATGGGCTAATTCAGGCCTGCACTAGGATTGATCACAAACCAAGAGATAAATATATGTATGTCTGGGTAAAATTCATTTCACACTTCTATCATATCAATGGCTCGTATAAAAGAAGTTTTAACTAATGAATGGAATTGTATGTTAATGGGTTTATGTCACAGAAGCTGCTGAGATTTAAATATTGGGTATGTGATCTATATAACATAGACTTCATAAAAAAATATTCTTTTCTGCCTAGAAATAAATGATAATAGGACAACCAGCACACATGAAGAGGTAAGTCAACAGCTATTACACAACCGTTATATCAGTCATGTGATTTATTTGAACTTTGCTAAGAAGCATAGCTTGTTGTGTCTAGTCACTAAAATCATGTCAGTATGTAACACTTCAATGTACAACACAGTTTTTCCTTTCCCCTTTATTTTGACCTGATGGTCCTGCAAAGAATGTACTTCCTGTCCTTTCATACTCATTACTCGACAGTATCTATGGGGCAAACATTGTTGTCACACGGGCTGGACTTTAAACATGTCTGCCTTTGTTCATCTCCATTACATGATAAATTATGGGATTATTAGTTTACAGAACAAAGATAAGATTGTTATGCATACACTTAATTAAGTACTTTTGTCACTGATCCACAAGTATGCAGATGAGAATTTCTATATTGTTTCTGACATTCCTGATCTGCATATTTGTTCCAGCCAGAGGGTCTACAGCCAGGTATGTAACCCTTTTAGTACCTGTCAGCAACTTTGTTGTAGAAATGTTGAAGTTCTTTGAAGAATAAGATCCTTATTCTAAAGAAGACATTAGCCTCCTATGTATCTTCAATCTTTACAAATCTGCTTAAACCAAGTTAATAAGCAAGTGAATCAGGGCTGTCTGCATGAGATTTCCATTTGGCTTGATTATTCCTCTCTAGGATAACCTCAAGATGGTCCTTTAAAAATCCACTTCACTTCCAGTTTAATACATGCTATCCAGGTAGATTGTAGCCATTAGCAGCACTGCCCTGTCTAGTATTTGTTCATTTAGAATTATAATCCTATAATGCATGAATATGTAAATGTATAAACTAAACTACATCCTTATTTGTATATTGTAAACCTAGAACGTTTCCCCAAAACAGAGGAAGCAAAGTGTCTACACAGCCCCGGCCATGAAAGGTACTGTTCAGGTACTGTTCGATGTTCTCACATATTAACTCCTACTTATGCCCTTATGCCATAATCACACGTGCTTATTTTATGTTTGAATGTCTTGTGACGTTAGTTTACCATAACTGATAAGATACATTTGCTAACTTGTTTTTTTCCCCTCAAATACTACCATATAAATGTCAGGGGGAGCGTAAAATGCTTCAAAGTGCAAGTTCTGGGACCAGCATGGTAAATCACTGGGGCTGATTTACTAAAGGAAATGAGAGGAGTTGAGAATGTAAAGCAATACTAAACTCAGGAGTTAAACCTTAAAAATACTGCATTCAAGTACCATAACTGTTAACAAAATGTATCTTATTTGTGTATCACTCAGCTGTAGATCCTCAAATCATCTCTGAATTGGTGCCGACACTGTCCTTCCTTCTGGAGGGTGGCTACTTTTGTTCCCCATGGTCCCTGTTTGTGTTGTAAAGTAGCCACTGCTTGAAACTCGCTTGCGTGATAGACTACAATCTCAATACAATTGGCAAACTAAACGTGAGATTCTAGTTTATCACGGGAGCGAGCTTGGAGAGGTGGCTACTTTACAACATACAATTTATCCAATTCAACCAGTACATCATGTGTAAGCAAAAATCAATTCTTTTTTAATTTCCCTTCCACAAAATTTGCTAATCAAAGTGATCATATGGTCATCTTATACATTTAGCTAAGTAGACATTCTTTACTGCCTTAGTAAATCATCCTCATTAACTTGGAACATGTATGCAAGTCTCCCAACTTTCCTGGCTGTGTAATTGGTCTTGTGAAGCAGTACAGAAAAGCATGACAATAAAGCCCTGGAGCATGTCCTTTTAAAAACTAAGCTGGCTCTCTTATAGTTTGATTATTTCAGGGGACCTTGCATCAAAATACAAGATTTGTGTATCCTTTAGACCCCCTATCCCCCTGTGTAAAAATGTAGTGTTACATGTAAATAAAAAATAAACTTTAGGAGAAAAAAAGCAAATATATACATATCTAGATGGTTGACCATGGTTGACCATCTAGATCGGCCATCAACATTAGAAGTCCTACCTCCACACCAACATACACGTTGATGACTGCACGCCACCACTTTCCTTGCGGTGAGTGGTCACGTACACACTTTTTTCAATGCCCATTGTTTCAGATCTCACACGGCCCCATCTCCTTGTTTTCGTTTTGTTCTGTGTTTATGGTATTGCCCTCCAACCTGAGCCCCAAGGCTGCACTCCCCAAAACATCCACCTCCACCAATCCTGCATCACCATCACCCACTGTTCACCCAAGTGGTCCCAGACCCCAGCACACCATCTTCCCCACCTGCTAGACAGGTACAACTCTGTTTGAGCGCTTCTCCCCCCACCTTTCTTGCATTGATTGGTTGCTATGAGGTGTCTTCCATCAGTTCTTCTTCAAGTAGTTTTAATTATTTGTTTTGTTATAGAGCAACCCTTAATTTCTTTAATTATTTGCTATGGTTTACTTTCTTTTTATTTGCTTTGTTGCATGTGCAGGCAGCAATGAGCAGGCAAAACCTTTAATTTCTATTGATGATAGACATCAGTCCACCAGCATGCCGTATGAGCAAACAGTAACAGAGAATACCAAGCTGCTTGTGAAAACAAGACGGAAAGACACTCCGTATCATCTTGATTTACCATTCTTCCCAGGTAGGGTCCCTAGATGAGATGGATGCATGGTGTAGAGACAGTATTAGGTTCTTAAAACATAAGAACATAACATGATTGCCAGACCAAATGGTAAAAGAGTCTACAGTAAATCACTTTATTAACTCAATAAGATGGACATGATCATTCAACCAGCTCACTTATGCTGCTACTGCTGCTGCTAATATTGTGTCATCTGAGTCCAGTTAAGCCCAGATAGCAATTTAAGCATGTGCTGGCCCCCAAAACGCATTGGCTGTTTGATGACTCATTCATCTGATGTCGACTCTTTCACTATTTGGACTGGGGCTCCTCATGGGGGTTGATTTACCAAAGGCAAACAGGCTGTTCACTTTGCAATTTTTCCTTACCTTAGTGAATGAAGACTTCCACGATCCAATCATGGCCAAGCAAAAAATGTGTTGTTGTTTTTTTTGTTCTACTCAAAGCTAAGGGAAATAGCCTACAGTATTTCCCTTTAGTGAATCAACCTCTATAAGTCACATTCTGGGTACCAACTGAAGGACAGCCTCACCAAAGCCAGTTATCTCATCGAATAATCTCTGTTTTATTGAACAAATACATTTTTAGAGTCCCTGCGCCTCTTTGATATTTTTTTTACAGCATTTAGTTCTGTTAGGCAACTGTGAGTCTTGCTCAGAGGAACATTTCTATTTTCTCCTCAGGTAAAACTATGCTTTAAATAAAGTGTAAAACTAAAACTTTTATTTTTATTTTTGCATACAGTTAGAATATCTATGGTTAGAATATCTGTCAGATTTCTATAGCTGTATGAGTCCAGGTTTAGAAGATTCAAGCTTTGTTTGATTTGGTGACCAAACTCTTTCCTCAACTGTCACCGTATCATAGCAAAAAGTTGATGAACAAAGTCCTTCAGGTCAGAATCACAAGTTATTCTTATAATAAAAGATGCATATTTTTTTAAAAAGTTACATTATCCTTTTGGAATAAACATTTTGGGTGAGGTGTGGTACATAGGGGGGGGGGTGATATAGCTTTATTTGTACTTTTATGTTTACCATTATATTTTTGTTGTGCTGTTGTTCTTTTTTTATTGCTTGTGTAAAAAAAAACCCATAACAAATTATACAAAAACTGTCATTTTGGAAATTAACCCACATATGGAAAAAGATAACATGGCCTAACAGGGAAAAGAAAATAATGTGTCTCTGTTTAGATAGTAGAACATATGAGCCTTGTAACAGAAGATAATCTGGAACAATGTGATTTTTGATAAGCTTCATAATAAATAGACAAACAAACTCAAGGCCTTGTGAGTATTAGAACACAACAGATCTGCAGTGTAAACCAAAACATACAACAAATAGAACATGACGACCCCAAGCTGGTGCTAATAAGATATAAGCAGTATATAATATACTAACAAAATGCCTGTGCAAACAAAATAAACATTCACACCCCATACCAGAAAGTGCCTGCCAAGAGCCTCTATAGTAGGATCGTCAGGTATTATTTTAAAGCATGCAGCATGCACCGCAGCCAGTACAAAATGTTGTTGGCAGAAAAGAAAAAAACTTTTTACAATTCTAAGTTTAGCTGTGATTTAATTAAAGCTTTGGATTTAAGAAGATAAAAAAAAATGTATGTCATAATTACATTAATATGTAAAGCTTGAGATTTCAGTGATAGCATTTACATTTACTAAGTATAGTTTTAGAATATGAACAATCTAAGGCAAACACAACTAAAGCACACCTAGATATTGGAAAAGGACATAAAACTGTTTTAAAAGGTAAATGTTGATCTAAAAGTTACTAGGAACATGCTCCTCTCCCGACTGCGTCCCTAGGGCGGCGGGAGAGGAGAAGTGTGTGTATCACACGCCCCGCCCCTTGCAGTGCACAGATCAACACCTTCTGGCTGTGATCCTGTGATGCTCTGGCTGGGTGAGTCTGATAGGGGGGGTTTGTGTGCTGTTATTTCATTTAATTAGGAAAGTGGATTATAATGGGGAACATTACACTGTAATGTTCCCTATTATAATCAATTTTTCTGAATAAATGATTACAAACAGGGCCTCTGTTCTATCAAAGTTTGTGACTACGTTAGAATGTGTGACTGGTGACGTGGTCACACATTTTAACGTAATCCCGCCAAGTTTTTTGGTGGTGGAATGTGTGACCGCCAATAGTTGAAGCATTCCAACGCTTTCTCAGCTGTTCCAGTGCAGATCGGCATCGCAGATAGTATGTGCAGGAGAAGCGATCTGCCCTGGAACAGTTGATCGGTCCTGAAATGTCACTTCTATCTGACTTTGTGAGTGGGGTGCAATGTGAGATCGCAGTCACAAAGTTGGAATGCTTCACCTATTTGTGGTCACACATTCCACCGCCAAAAAAACTGGGCGGGATTACTTTAAAACGTGTGACCACATCATCGGTCACACATTCTAACGTAGTGACAAACTTTGATAGAACACCGCCATCAGGGGGGTATAGCCGGTACCCATGTGAGGGGTCTGGGCAGCCTGGGGGGCCTCTTACATGTGTATCAGCTGTACCAGGCTATAGAGGACTACACATCCCAACAACACTTTATATAACAATAGCATTTCTGTATAAAGTACTGATGAGATTTATAGTCCTCTATAGAGGGTCCCATTGGGCATTGCTGCAACAGTACTTTATACAACATTAAGCTACAAATAATAATTATTTTAATGAACTATTTACCC